GAAAAAAATTTCAAGAAAATTGAAAATTAAAAAAGATGATAGATTACTGCAAACGTATTCCTTTTTCCTTTTCACACTTTTTGTTCTTTATTTAATTGGCTTTTACAAACTATAGAAGTCCTTGCTAGTCGTATTGAGCAAAAATAAATAAAAATAAAAAAATAACTAAACCTGTGAAAAAAGGGAAAAGATTATGCTTGGGGAATATTAACAATTTAGGATTTTAGAAACATATAAAAATTTAATTGATATCTTGGGTTGATAATTTGAAAAAATGGAGAAATTGAAGAAGATATTGCATATAGGAATTGAAGTTACAACCAGAGTTTTATGTGATCGTCGCATACGAATGAAACTGAATGACAAGTTCTATAGAACAATTGTGAGACCAACTTCACTTTATGAGGGAGAAATGTTGGACATTCCATAAACAACATACCCATAGAATGAATATAGTTGAGATGAAGATGTTGAGATGGATGAGTAGAAAGAGAATAGGTGGTAGAATTTTGAAATGAATATATTCAAGAGATATGTATGGCACCAGCAGGTGATAAGATGAGATAAAATAGTCTTAGGTGAGCCGACCATGTGTGACGCTGATCCATTACAACACTTGTTAGGAGATATGGGTTAGCTTAAGTAGAAAGGCTAAAAAGTGGGCAAAGAGTAGGTGTAAAAAGGCAGTTGGAAGTAGTGTAAAAATATAAAGAGATTTTTAGCCTCATTGTAGTTATGACTGTTAATAAAGTAAAATGACAGATTTAAGATAGCCGACCCCAATTAATTGAAAAAAGCTTCAATGATGATCATAATGTCAAAAAGTTAAACTATAAACAAAAAAATATTAGGGCTTTACTGTTTATTGACCTTTTTATGAAAATTTTATGATAATTTCCTTAAACCTAGAGTAAAACAAGCAAGGATCCAACACAATATAAAAAAAATTACCCGATTATGATATATTTGGCCAGTGTCTCACTCATGCTTTCTTGAATCTTGTTGGAGAGAGTGAGATTGATCGACGGATATGTGAGAGAAACGAATGGAAAACCCCCTTCTTTCTCTTAAAAAGTCTTTTATTAAAAAATTTGCATTTCCTATTTTACCTTGATAAAAATTCATTAAGGGCCCGTTTGGATAGGACGAAATTAGGAATATTATATATTTAAAATCAAAAGAAATCTTTAGATTTTTAATATCAAAGATTTTTATTATGGATTCCTCAAACCTCTTGTTTGGATAAATTATACAAAATTTATGAATTCCTTACAATCACTTCTATGTCCATTGTTTGGTAACGAAGCTTCATACAATTTATCTCTCTAAAATTTTTATATATTTTTTTTTTCTAAAACTAAAAAGTTGGAAACATGTATCTATAAAAAATTTGAGATAGTTTCTCTCTCTAAAATTTGACATGGTTTTGTCTCTCTAAAATTTAATATACTTTCTATCCAAAATTTAAAAATTGAAAATATTTATCTAAAAATTTTGAGATAACTTCTCTCTCTAAAATTTTTAGGTGCTTTACTTTCTCTAAAATTTAATATAGTTTCTCTTTTTAAAATTTTAAGATACTCTCTCTAAAATTTAAAACTTGAGATAGTTCCCCTATTCAATAATTTTGAGATAGTTTCTCTCTCTAAACATTTTTAAGTAGTTTCTCTCTCTAAAATATGTTATAGTTTTTCTCTCAAATTTTAATATACTTTCTCTTTCTAAAAGCTAAAATTTGAGATGATTTCTCTCTATAAATTTTGCGATAGTTTATTTTTCTAAAATAAATTATGTACTTTCTCTCTCTAAATTTGATATAGTTACTCTCCTAAATTTTATGGTATTTTATCTCTCCAAAACTTCAAGTTTGAGATAGTTTCTCTCTCTAAAATTTTGAAATAATTTATCTCTTTAAAATTTGATATAGTATCTCTCTAAACTTTGATATACGTTTTCTTTCTAAAGTTTAAAATTTGAGATACCTTCTATCTCTAAAACTTAAAATTTGAGATAGTTTATCTCTGTAATTTTTTTTGAGATAGTTTCTCTCTCTAAAAATTTTATATACTTTCACTATTTAAAATTTGATATAGTTTATCTCTCGAAAATTTTAATATACCTTTTCTCTCTAAAATATAAATTTTGCGATAGTTTCTTTCTCCATCTCTCTCTAAAATTTTCTAGGTAGTTTATCTCTCTAAAATTTGATATAATTTCTATTTCTAAAATTTTAATATATTTTCTCTTTCTAAAATTCAAAATTCGTTATAGTTTTTCTCTAAAACTCAAAATTCGAGATAGTTTTTCTCTGTAAAACTGAAATATTTCTCTCTAAATTTTTTATGTGGTTTTTCTTTCTAAAATTTATAATAGTTTCTCTCTAAAAGTTTAAGAATACTTTATCTCTCTACAATTTTAAGAATAGTTTCTCTCTTTAAAACTTAAGATTTGATATAGTTTCTCTCTCTAAAAATTTTTTTGAGATAGTTTATATTTTTAAAACTTTTTAGGTCCTCTCTCTAAAATTGATATAGTTTCTCCATCTAAAAATTAAAATATGAGATTGTTTCTCTCTCTAAAAAATTGAGATAGTTTCTCTCTCTAAAAATTTGCATATACTTTCTCTCTCTAAAATATGATAGTTTCTCTCTAAAAATTAAAATTTGAGATTGTTTCTCTCTCTAAAATTTTAAAAATAGTTTATCTCTCTAAAAAAATTGGTACTTTTTTATATAAAATTTTAACATACTTTCTCTCTCCAAAATTTTAACATAATTTCTCTTTTTAAAAGTTAAAATTTGATACAGTTTATCTCTCTAAAGTTTTGAGATGGTTTATCTTTCTAAAAAAATTTGTTACTTTTTCTCTAAAATTTTAACATACTTTCTCTCTCTAAAATTTTAACATACTTTCCCTGTAAAAGTTAAAATTTGAGATAGTTTTTCTTTCTAAAAATTTTGAGATAGTTTCTCTCTTTAAAAAATTTAAGTACTTTTTTTTAAAAAATTTTCATATCTACTAAATGCTTCCTATATTTCAGGTCGAGGGAGGTGAAATCCATGGGCCTTGGAAATGTAAAAAAACAGGTTTTAGTGTGGAAATGAAATTATGGAAAAGTAGGTCTTGTTTTATTTCTATGATTTTGATTTTCTTGTTTTTAACTATCCTAGTCATACAGCAATTCAAATAGTAGATTTTGACAATATACAATATATTAAGAATCCATGCCTTAAAATCCAAGTACCCAACCAGGCCCTAAAACAACAATACACATTTTCATTTGGATGGAAATATGGAAAATGAAGGAGGCAACAGGTGCGCGCTAAACTTTTTTATGATTACAGACATTAAAAGTCCAATCTCATATATGACTTCAGACTTCCAATGTCCTAATTAGGGACAAAGGAAAAAAAACTGAAAAAGATAACCCGTAACATGAAAAAATTGCGGGGTATTTTAAGAATGAGTGTGGTTTTTATAAGGTTGCAACTTTAAACAATCCAATTAAGGCACACCTCCAAATTTTATCATGTAATTTTGATATAAAAACATCTATAAGCTTATCTAAAAATCTATTTTAATATCTAATTGTAAACTTTTAAACTTCAAAAATGGTTAAAATCAAGTAAATCTATAAACACATGAAAATCTTAAAAATGGACGGTCTAGATAATGTGTTGTAAGATACACTATTTCTAAGACTTAATTTTTTTTTATTTCATATTAAAAATTTCGATATGGAGATGATCAATTAGAGAGTTTTTCAACATTGAAACAACATTTTCTAGTGGATTTGTGAGGTGCATTTTTAATTTTACGTTTTAAGGTTGCAACCATATATTACCGGGATTAAATATAATATATGAGTAATTTTCTAGAAAAAAAAAAACAAAATATATATACAATGAGACTATTTACCTTTGGAATATGGAGGTCACAATTACTTATAGCCGTCCGATGTCAAATCTAATAGTTTGGGTGTGTCATAAAGTTTGAAAAAATTTCTTTTGAACTTTGAGTTTGATAAATCAAATAAATGCAACCACCCAATTTCACATCTGAAAGACAAGATTAATTGTGACCACCTTGTACCAAAGGTAAATAGTTTTATTGTATATATATATATATATTTAAAAAAAAAAAATATTACAAAAACAATCCCAAAACTACACTATCTATACAACTTAGCCCCAACCTAACTTTTTCTCTCATTTGTTTCCCCAAAATATATTTTTTTATGTAAATACCCCCTAACCAAATAAAAAATAAAAAAATATCTAAACTACCCTCTCTCACTTTTACCTTACCTATACCTCTCTCCCCTCTCTCCCACCAAAATAGACGATTTGATACTGTGTAAATAGACGATTTGATACTGTGTAAATGCGATCGACAGTAGTGTTCCGGCATTGTATAAAATACGGTTCGACAGTAGAGCTTCGGTACAGTGTAAAGTGTGGTTCAACAATTGAAAATGGCTGTTCGGTAGTTGCAAAGGGTGGTCTAGTAGTAGATGTTATTGGATTTTAGGGCTCCGATACTATGTAAAAAGCGGTCTCGTAGTACTCGGTTTCGGTCGGGTAGTTGTCTTAAGGCGGTCCGACACTTGTGCGCTCCGACAATATAATAGTGCCCTCCGACAATATGGTACTGGATCCAAAAGTCAAAGTCAAATCTAGCCAAAATGATTTTTGTGTACAAGAAAGACATCTTCGTTTAAAAAATATACTTTTTTTTTTTTGGGAGTATTTGCATATAAAGCTTGTTTTGGAGAAAATAGTGAGAAAAAAGTTGGTTGCGAGTGGTATTTTTTTTTTTTTTGGTAGTTTTCAAAAAAAAAAAAAGAAATCTTCGCCGGTCGTTTGCCTTGTGGAGTAAATATACACGTACTCCCGCGGGAACATGCCGTACCAGTGCGCGGATGAAAACAATTTACCCAATTTTCAAAAACGTCCAAGAGCCTCGCCCTCTGCTCCCGCAAGCGTCCAGACCCCTCTCTATCCCTTTCCCCCCAAAATTGAACGTTCTCTCTCTAAACTTCCAAATTCGAATCCATACTTTCTCTCTACACTCGGCTGCATACGCGGAGAAATTTGGAAGGATGATGGGTGTCTCTGCACATTATGGTTGGACTGAGTCGATGAGAACAGAAGCAGGCCCCATTTTTTTAAGCGGCCGGGGCCAGCCCATCACTGCGTCGTGCCGGCCTCCAACTAATTTTCAATTCTTCCTTTCCCTCTCTATTAACCCCACCTTCAACTTCCCCTCTCTCTCTAACTTTCATTTCTCTTGCAACTGCCTCTCTCTCTCATCTTCCAGTCCATTGTTGTGGTCTTGTGGCTGGCTAGAGAGATGTCCAGGTCTACCCTTCGAGGCGAGAGATCGAGCTCTTACGCCACTGCTCCGACAAAGAACTCTGTGCGCTCTCTCTCTCCTGCTGCTCCTAGGTCCAAGGCATTGCCGTCGGCGAGACCAGCCCATCGAGCTCATCCTCTCATTGAAGATGATGATTCGGGCGAGTTTTCTCTCGCTTCCTTTTCCTGAATGGGTTGTTGGGGTGTAATGATTGGATAAATTTCTCTCTTTTTTTTTAGCTGAATGGATTAACAGGATAGATAAATCAGGGAAATATCTCTTCCCTTTTACTAAATGGCCTAATTGGGATGAGTTCATTTAATTTCCCCTTTCCATTTGAGTTCAATGGCTTCCTGGCTTGCCAAAAGTTTCTAGTTTTGGTTTAAACGATAATGGGGGGAGTATTTTTTGTACTTTCAAACCCGTTTTCTTTCATTGTAAATCAGTTCAACTCTAGGTCATTTTGTGTTTGAATGAAAATTCAGGATCACAAACCTGTTTTTAAATAAGCTAATCTAAGTGAAAACAGTGTGGTCAAACCAACAGGGTCTTTTGTAGACAATTAAGAAATGGGTAATTTACTGTTTATGAATGTGACATTGGTTAAGGGTGATAGAGTGTGTAGGAGGAGGCATATAAAGAACATAAATTTGGATGTAGCTGCTTGTTAGAATAGATATAAGAGGGAGATTTTGATTATTCTGGAATAGAAACTTGATAGTTAGGAAGATTTGTTAGTTATGAAATTGAGGGGAAAGATTGTGTATGCTATCCATGAAGTTGTGGGTAGGCATTTGTTTCTTTTTTGGAATCTTGATGTTATTCCTTTTGAGAATCATAGCATAATTACCGCCCAGTCTATGTTGAAACGAAACTTAAAGAAGATTGATGCCTAGTCACGGTTCAACAATTATATCTTGTTGGACCTATACATGGTTCAACATTGTATCTTGTTGGACTCATGTGTTGAACATTAGGAAGAGTTGGAGATTCTTTCTTATTCCTTAGCGGAGTTGGATCATCCTAGAGTGGATTAAGATGGGCCATGAGAGATATTTGTAGGGGCTGAAACAGAACTGGTTTGTACAGACTCTATTTCCCTGCATAAATGTTCCTTGAAGATTGTACTCATGGTTTGTTTCACATAAATGTTGTCTTCTGGAGTCTTTTTGGGAATAGATTTGAAAATTAAAAGCCCTGTGGCTCTTGGGTGTGACTAAATCACACAAATAGTTAAATGTGCTGTCAATCACACATTCTCAAATTTTTTTATGAATTCTGATTACTTATTGCGAGAGATATTCCAAATTTCCGTGATCCTTTTCCTGGGGGACCTTGCTATCTACGAAACTGTGAGGCACTTTTAGGATGGTAATTTGTACACGTGTATAGAATTCTAAAATATTTTGATTGCTGAACCATAAAATATGTAGAAGAACAATTGGTTTCCTAAAACAAGTGATCGGTTCTTGAGAAAAGTAATTGGAATAGTTTATTCATTTTACATACAACGTCATTTGTAATTATATACATGAGCCTTAAATGACCTAACTTATGGATTGGAAATATTTATGGATTTTGATTTGGAGTTATTTGGAAACTGGACTGGAGACGTTTGTCTCCCATAGTATGTGCTTCGAATAATAATTCGGTGGACTGACAATTTTTCCCTTGACACTATGGTACAATGCGAATGTAAGCAAAGAAAAGAAAAAACATTTCGAAGAACATGGTGTCGAAGATCATGTAGGCTTGCTATTTTTTAAAGGTAATAAAAAATTCGAAATAGAGATCTCGGTTCAATAAGGATCATCTTTCTAATTAGTGTTTCAAAAAGCGCTAGGCAGCACCTAGGCGGTCGGGGAGTTCCAGGCCGCCTAGCGCCTAGGCGGGAACTTGAGCGGCCCAGTAGAAATTTTTTTTGGGGGTTTTTCTCTCTCAAAAATAGGCTTTGGTAGGTTTTAGGTTTCAAATGAACCTAAAACCCACAATTTTGCACCTTTAATATTAAAAAATGACCCAAAAATACCCCCAACGAGGGACACGTCTGCCCCTGGGTGGGGCGCAGGCCCTGGGCAGCAGCCTAGGCGGGTTCAGGCGGTCGCTTAGGCGGGTTACCGGACAACTAGGGATATCCGCATTTTTTGGGCGCCAAGCCTTGGGTGATACGCCCAAGCCCCCAGAACCACCTATGCAGCCACTTAGGCGTTGGGCGGTCCGTTTTTGAAACACTATTTCGAATAGTGCTTGCACTGGCTCAGATCATGTTTCTAATAATGCTAGGATTGGCTGCCTTTTTTAAAATTATAATTGATAAGACAAAATCATAATTTGAACTATAATAATGAAATCAAAATCAAGATAAAATACATGAGATAATATTTGTATTTTTTGTTGACAATTTCCTTGGTGGATTATGAGTGTTTATTAAACCTCACTTCTAATACTGTGTCTGAGGCTAAATAGTCCATATAATGACTTCACATCTATGGAACACTTCTTCAAGTTTTAGAGACCTCTGATCTCGCTGGCTTCATGAGGTTTTAAGTTCTTAAGGCACGAGATGTTGTAGGAATCTTGATTCGAAAGGGTTAAAACTCGACCTTATAGAGTGACTAATCTCGATTTTCACTTTTGCCTTAGTATCCCAAAGTACTATTCCAAATTCATTTCCTCTTGTTGCAAATTCGCTATTTCGCTATACAATTGGTAAATCCTAGATATTTCATCTTGTTGGGAGTATGTCTTGGCTACTGCCTCCCATACATCCATTGTAGTCTAAAGAAACAATAGTCCTCTGCTAATACTTGGTTGTATAGAATGAAGAAGCCATGCCATTACTGTCAAGTTCTTACTTCCCACATCATAGGATGGATCGTCTATCAGAGGCTTTCTCAATTTTCCTGTTGATATAACCCAATTTCCTCCGGCTTCCTATGAATATTGTTGCAGATTGCGACCGTTATAAGTAGTTTGTCCCATCTAGCTTAATTGACTTCTTCCCAAGAAAATATTTGCCTGATTTTTGACATTTTCCTTCTCTCTTGAACTAAAAACCGTAAGTTTTTTTTTTCAATGTACTAATTTCTTAATTTTAAATATGATGGTGCTGGAAATGTGAGATTGCTGGAAATATGAGGTCACTAGAAATATGATGTTACCAGAAATATGAGGTTGTTGATAAAGAAAGAGTTTGGGAATACTGTGAGGTTTCTGGAAATGTGAGATTGCTGGAAATATAAAGTTGCTGGAAATGTGAGATTGCTTGAAATATGAGGTTGCTGGAAATGTGAGATTGCTGGAAATGTGAGATTGCTCGAAATATGAGGTTGCTGGAAATGTGAGATTGCTGGAAATGTGAGATTGCTCGAAATATGAGGTTGCTGGAAATGAGAGATTGCTGGAAATATGAAGTTGTTGGGATATGATGCTGTTGGAAATATGAGGTTGCTGAAAAAATAAAAGGATTTTGGGATGAAAGCTTGCTTATTAGTAAAAGAAAGTGAGATAATCTTGGTGGAAATATGAGGTTGCTGATAGTTAACCTTATGTCAAAAATAAAATAAATTATGAGGTTGCTGATACATCACAGCTTCAAACCCAAGAAGGAAGAAAAATCATGATTCTAGGGTCACGGGAAGTATTGGATATCTTAGGATTTCAAACCCTGCTCTGATACTATGTTAAGATTGAGAGAGCGAGAGAGATGAAGAGTAATATTCATGTACAAGATAAATAAATACACGTTTTTCGCACTCTACACGTCATAGGGCAATGTGCCCTATATATACACAGATTCCTATGGGGGTTACTGCATGGGTGGGTCAACATGCAAGAGAATTACAACTATTACTGCAAGAGTTAACAGTAGGAGTTACAATAATTGTTATAACGTGTTCTAATGGGCATGAAGAGCTTTATTCATTGGAGTTGCAGGTTTTATTGGGCGTGAGCTCATAACACCATAACAGCCCCTACATGAGACCCATTATGCATAGGAGTTAGAACTGTTTCATAGGTGTTAATGGGCATAAGCCCATAACATTTGCTACAGAAGGCAAGCTGAGTGCATCCTATGCTCATGCAAACAGGTACTTTTCTTAAAAGCAGTGGAGATAGAGATGTCTGTCAACTCATGTTCATCATTCAAATTGTGCATCTCTGCTACGCAAAACAGTGGCAAACTTTTGCTGTGAATTACGACGATGGCTTTGAGAGCACAGAGATCACAAGAGACATCACACGCACTAACATCCTTGCCCCTCACAAAACCATCAGCTGCATAGCCAGCATTGAGTTCAATACAACATAAAACAAAGTTAAGGAAAGGCTCTGAGAAGTCCTTGAGTGCTTCTCTAATGTGTTTGGCAAAGCAACACATTTTGAAAGATCAAAACTCTTGACAAAGTTTTCTTTTTGAGAATTACAAGCACGAGGTATTACTATTATCAGGTAGGATTTGCTGATAAGCACTCGTGTCTACAATTTCCACGAAGAACTTGCCATAAGAAGTTTGGAAGTTCATGGCTTTGGGCCTGAAAATTAATTGGCCCACTCTTGTTGATTTCATGTAGGTTCCAACGGTTTTTTGCAGTATCAAGGATGTCAATCAATCCCGCGCTCTCATTCTGAAAATGAGGTCTTGCAAAATGTGTTGCTTTGCCTTTTGCTTCAAGGTTGGTATCTTTGGTGAAACCATCATTTGAATTTATGTCTTTATGCCCCCTTAATGGAGTCCCAGAAGGTTGGAACCGTGGGATCATTTTGCTATGTAACACCTTGTTGAATTTGATTCTTATGTTCCTAAACAATATTGGGCAAAAGAAAAATTAGTACCTATTGTTCTCTAAATAGATTTCCTAAATTATAGCCTTGGCGATCCCTCTCTAGTTTTTTGACTTCTAATTAAATGCTGAAATTATTCTCTGCTTAAAGTTTTGGTTGTGTTAACTTGATACTTCTTCCTTCCCGTGTGTTTGGCCAGTTTAGTTTCTCCTTGTGTGTATTTTGGGGCTATGGGGATTCCCGAAAGAATTTGGATATTGTGACCTCACAGATAAACAGTTCTGTTTTGTCATCATGTTCAATTTGTGGAATTTATGTCTGTTTATAAGCTTCTACTCTTTCTACTTGCACTACTGAATATGATGGACCTCTTATGTTGCATTACCTAAAGTCTTTCAGGATCTCTCTTCTAAACACACATTCAAGTGATTGTGGGTTTCATAAGTTTGTGGCAACCTTTTGTGGGGGTTTGTGGATTACCTTTATGGAGGAAGACGAAAAGTCTAGTAGAATAGAACTTTGCTTTTTATTTTCTATAATTCCCACATAACCAAGGAAATTCTCGACATTAAGATTGTCCTTATTTTTCCAATTACAAATTTATCTCGAGCTACTATTTTGGGTAAATTTCATTATATGCATTCAATTTTCTTTTTATTTTTTATAGTTTAAGTAGTATAATTTTAAAATGAAGTGGATTTTATTGCTGTGGTTTGATTTTCTTGTCCTCTTTCTTCAGTTCATGGGAGAGTTCGAGTTGCTGTTAGACTTCGACCTAGGAATGCTGAAGATCTTGCTTCTGATGCTGATTATGCTGATTGTATTGAACTTCAACCAGAGGTTTCCATTGCACAATTTATATACTATTATTTTCATGGAACTGCTTTAAAAGGTTGCACATGTTCCATAAGCATGTCTGAGCAAAACTCGCCAATAGACACATTCCAAATACATACATTTTTGTTCTGATAGTTTTATGGACCATGGGAAATACAAAATAGAAACTAAAGGTAGTTTGCCTCTGCAAGTTTCACAGCTCAAGCGGCTGAGATTAAGGAAAAATAACTGGAGCTCAGAATCATTCAAGTTTGATGACGTTTTTACAGAGAGTGCTTCTCAGAAGCGTGTCTATGAAGTGGTTGCCAGGCCTGTTGTGGAGGTAAGCTTCTAAGAGTTATTCGACGCTTTTCACAGGAGAAAGCAATTTCTTTTCTTATTGGAATTTAATTTATTGGATTCTTATAGCTGTTGTCAATTCAGACCTCTTCAAATGTAAAATATGAAAAACCCGATTCCATTACGAAACTGTGTCAAACTCTCACCATATCTTTAAGCAGAGAAAGGTAGAATTCCTTCTCTCAAAAATATGTGAATATAGCGATCCTATTAACCATCTTGGTTTGAAGTTAGATCCTTGCTATATATTTTTTGAATGTTAGATTATCGCTCTATATTCTTTCCTGATTACCATTTAATTTCAAATGGAAGCATTATCTATTCCTTAAACTCATTGAATCTACTGTTCTAATGTAGTTAATCATTTTCAAAAATTGTAGAGTGTGTTAAATGGTTATAATGGGACGGTGATGGCATATGGTCAAACTGGAACTGGCAAAACTTATACAGTTGGTAGACTTGGTAAGGAAGATCCATCTGAACGTGGAATCATGGTTAGGTCTCTAGAAGACATACTTGCAAGTACTTCTGAATTGGATTCTGCGTCAGTCTCATATTTACAGGTATATGTTAGTTCATTTTGTGTCTTTTTTAGGTTGCGATGGGAGTTAGATTTTTAATTGTGATGGCAGTTAAATTGTTATATAGACTTGTTTGTTGATTATTCTCTACTCAGTTCCAACTTCCTAGCAGATCATCTTTGATTCAGATCATGCAAGTGTATTTTTCGCGATATGTGACATGAGGTGTTTGAATTCCAACGAATTTCAAGAGCTATTTTCTGATAGTGGCTTATGGCATCTTATCTTACCTTGTCTCTGCTATTTGTATATCAGCTTTCGTATTATTATTTGGTAAGTATACAATGTCAAATAGAAAACTTGTTACCAACTCGTTGACCCATATGAATGCTTCTCTATTGCCAGCTATATATGGAATCTATTCAAGACCTTCTAGTACCTGAAAAGAATAACATTCCGATTGTTGAGGATCCCAGGACGGGGGAAGTTTCTTTACCTGGGGTGGAAAAAGTTAAAATTCGAGATCTTGACCATTTTTTGGAAGTAATCCAAATTGGTGAGGCCAATCGCCACACAACATTTACTAAACTAAATACAGAATCCTCAAGGAGTCATGCAATTCTTATGGTAGGTTTCTTATGTAAAGTACATTCATAAGTTATTTTTATTTTGATTCTAATTGACATGCTGTGATCCATGATTATTTGAAAATCTTGGTTTCTTTATTATTTCCACAACTGAGATTCAAAACGTGCTATACTAAGGGGACTTGCCACAGGTTTATATTCAAAAGGCTGCAAAACTGAAAGATGAGGATGCATATGCTCCTTTTGAGAGCAGCACTAGTGAACCTAGAATAAATGGACGAGATGTGCCATTAGTAACTAAAAGCAAGTTACTCATTGTTGACCTCGCAGGATCTGAGAGGATTGGCAAATCTGGTATGATTTGGAAGTCTCTCTGTTTGTACAAGAACTTGTTTTTATGTGAAGATTCATTTTATCCGGCGATGTGGGAGTTTCTTAGTTGATTACCATAATGTATGTTTTTCAGTATATGCAATATCAATTGAGAAATAGTCTTGTTTATGAAAGTTATTGGTAATTTTTCATTTTTCTAGCTCTCGTTCTTCTAAATTGCATGCGCTGCTAACTTGGTACAAGGAAGCAGAAATCTATGTCTTGAATGTGACTGATGATGGCATCATGGCCCTCCATTGGACCAAATTATTATTATTTTTGTTATTATTATTATTATTTTAAATTTACTCTCTTAGTGGCAAAAGAGCACTTATTTAATGACGCGGTTAGTGCTTTTATTTTATTTGGTCTTAATTTTATTGGTTACTTCAGGGTATTTATGTTTTTCGTTCTTGTAGTTAATGAAGAAGTACTGTTGTCTTTCTTTAGTATCCTAAAGTAGGGCTATTGGTCTGTTCTCTTATATTGTATAAATAGAGGAGAGGATGTCCAGTGCCGTTAGATATTATTCTTGTTGAAGAGAAATTTGTGAACACCCTACAAATGGCTCTTTGCTTCACTTGCTTAAAGGCCATCATAGTGAAGGCTTGAAAACCCTCTGTCCCTCTCTTCCAAGGTATTGCTCAATTTCTCCTCCCTTTTTTTTGGCCTTCTTTCTCCTTTCTGCCTTTCCCTTCTTAATTTCTTCTCTTTCCGTTTCTTCCATTTCCCTTTCTTATTGTCTTCTTCTCCTTCTCCCTTCTTTCTTTTACCCCCTGTTTTCTTTCTTTTTTATTTTTGCCTTACAATTACCCTCCAAACAGCACACATGCCTCAGACAATGGCCATTTAGAGTTCAAGACCCTAAAAGAAGAACCCAGATTCCTTCCTTAGAATTATCCAACACGAAAAACTTTCGAAATCCCCAACCCTAATTCTCTCTTTAACATCAAAACCTAATTTTCTTTCACCCATTCAATTCCAAAACCTGTACTTATTGATTCCCTCTAGAACTAATTTTAAACTATTCTATGGCTTCTTCTTAACTCCCCATAGTACGCTAAATTTGACTGGAAACCAATTTTGCTTGGCTAATTTTGTTGAAGGCAGATTTCAGTCTATTGTGGATTTGAAATCTCATCTCCCATGGTTGATTGATTAGTTTCGTTAGAATACTACTGCTGAAGTTGTAGATTTGTAGCCTTGCTTTGATCTAATGTTACATCATTTGTTATCGCAGCAAGTTCTATCGTGGGATTTGATGTTTATTTATGATTTGTTTAAAGGCTGTCTTAGAATTCCCAAGGTCAGGTAAATTGTCCTAATGGCCATCCAGGATGTAGGAAGTGTCCTTCCTTAGGTCTAGCAAAGTTCTGTTTTAGGTTAGGTGATTTCACATTACATGGTAGATCTAGGGAATGCGTACCAGGGTTATGGTCAAGGTCGTGGTTATGACCAAGGCTGTGGGCGTGGTCCAGTCAGGTGTGTTGATAGAAGATCATCTAATAAATAAGTCGATGACTCGCTCCAGCAGATTGGGGAGTAGTTTCACAGATTTTGCAGGGCGTAGGTGTTAGAATAACACTTTCTTTTCACCCTCTGCAAGAGCCTCATGGATATGTTCCAAGAGATTGCTTTTGTTGGCCTGAAATATTGCTGATTGTCTCTTCTTCTTCAAATTTCCTACATCACCTAGTCATAGGGATGTCCCAATTTGGTAGCGATCCTGACAATCCCACTCTCAAAACTCGGCCTTGAGTTGATCTTGCACCCATATGGGAGGAGCATGACCCCAATCCTTTAGGGATCGGTCGATGTAAATTGTACTCATGTTAGATTGATCTTTTATAAGGAACACGTATTAAATACATCATCATCATCATCGTCGTTGTCAAAGTCTTTTCCCAACTAATTAGGGTTGACTACACAAATCTTGGTCCATCATTCTTCTCTATTAAGAGCCATACCCTCAATGAGGCCATAAGCCCCCATATCTTTTCTCACTAATTCCAACCATGTCCTTTTGGGCCTACCCCTTGCCCTTTTTGAGCCTTTCACTTGAACTAACTCGTATCTCCTCATAGGTGCTATATTGGGTTTGTGCCACACATGACCAGCCCACCGAAGTCTACTTTCTCTCATCTTATTGCCTATTGGTGCCACACCTAAATTTTCTCGAATGTATTCAATTCGGATTCTACCCCTTCTAGTTTTGCTACTCATCCATCTTAACATCTTCATCTCTGCTACACTCATTCTATGAGTATATTATTTTTTTACCCGTGGACACCCAACTCTAAGTCTATATGCGACATTTTTCCGAATCTCTCAATTTTCTTGGATTATGGACAAGTCTTAAATGTATATTTATTTTAAAAAATAAGCAATTATATTGCAAAATCGTGTTTTATATATTTCTCAAAGGAATAAGAGTTGCTTTATTAGATGGATTTGGGATGTTCAGCATTTTTTGTGTGATACCGAGAAGTTGGGATCCAGCTCCCTAAAAAATTGGATTGAGATCCCTAAAATTAGGGCGTGTGGACAGTGGTCCCCACCATTGAGAACGTTAGCTTAGCACGATCCCACATTCCTGCTCTCGATTCTAAAACTACATTGCAGAATTCCTTCCTTGACTCCTCTTCGTTGTCTTTGACCATCAGCTAGAATGTAGAGGGAAAGAGGAACATTAGGAACATCATGACCATTATAATCATTCTTATTTCTACTTCCGCTTCCACTCTTTTGGGGCAGTGCTTTATGTTGTAATAGATGGGGTCCAAGCTCATAAAAGTAGTGATCAGCTTGGTTAAAAAGATGCTATGAGCAAATTATATTCATCTCCCATCCCTTCAAGCGGGTACAATATCTTGTCTTCATCTGAAATGATCTCGCCAATGGTAGTAAGCGCGTCACAAATGCCCTTTCCATTAGTAAAATACTCGCTAATATTGGAAATACCTCCGCATTTATACACTTCTCTTCGCAGATGCATTGATCTTGACTTAGAAATGCCCATGACTTGTGTCAAAAACTTATGGCATAAATGTCGCATTCAACCAGTCTACAAGTTCCGGTTCTACTCGATAACACGCTCTGTGTGCTGGGTTCGAGACATACATCTTCTCTCCCCTTCCTTTTTGCCTAACATTTCTTTTCTATAAATTCGTGAGGCACTCGATTTGACCCATCAAGATGTCTGACGACTTGCAGACCATTAACAAAAAGGAGCAATTTGGTCCTTTTGGAAAAGAAAATTAGACTCACGCATATGTTGTAGGATTGATAGTAAGAAAAATGCATTGAAGGAAGAAGTTTGTTGCGAGGATGATGGCATTATAGTAAGACCGCAAGTGATTTTGATTTAAGATAAGATTTTTTTTGCTTCTCCTTCTTCTTCTTCTACTTTATCTTTGTTTTTTTATTTTTATTTTTATTTTTTTTAATTTGTAGAAATTGAAATGGGTTTGGTTTTACGACTCCTATTATTGAAGAATATAAATAAGTTCAATTTCTCTGAGAAATGTACTGTGGATTGGGGTCTAGAGAAGAGATTATGGCAGACATGGAAATTGATGTTCGAGAATGCAGATTGAAGATTGAAATATTGAAATTAAAATATAGATAAATTTTGAGAGAGAGAGAGAGAGAGAGAGAGAGAGAGAGAGAGAGAGAGAGAGAGAGAGAGAGAGAGTAGTAGTAGTAGTAGTAGTAGTAGTAGTAGTAGTAGAGTAGAAGTAGAGTAGTAGTAGTAGTAGTAAGTAAGTAAGTTAGTTAGTTAGTAGTTAGTAGTAGTAGTGTACGTAGTACGTAGTAGTAGTAGTAGTAGAGTA